CCGCATGCTCAATTACCTGCCTGTACCAACACCCCCAGCGCCGTGGTTCAAACATTGCAAAAAATCAATTAAACCAATAGAAATAATGGGTATTTTCTGAATTGGTTATCATATTCGTAATCAGTATGTTAGCCCCCCCTGTGCCAACTCCCAGCCCCGTAGCTTGAACTTTGTCAGAAAATCGATAAAATGATAAAAGTAATTGATAACTAATATTGTATTCGTAATCAGCATGTTCGCTTACCCCCCTGTGCCAACTCCCAGCCCAGTAGTTCAAAATTTGCAAAAACGATAAAATGATAAAAGTAATGTGCATTTTTGAAAATGGTTACCATATTCGTAATCAGCATGTTCGCTTACCCCCCTTTGCCAACTCCCACCCCCGTAGTTCAAAATTTGCAAACAAATCGATGAAATGGTAAAAGTAATGTGCATTTTTGAAAATGGTTGTCATATTCGTAATCAGCATGTTCGCTTACCGCCCTGTGCCAACTCTCAGCGCCGTAGCTGGAACTTTGCAAAAAATCGATAAAATGATAAAAGTAATTGATAACTAATATTGTCTTCGTAATCAGCATGTTCGCTTACCCCCCTTTGCCAACTCCCAACCCCGTAGTTCAAAATTTGCAAACAAATTGATAAAATGATAAAAGTAATGGGCATTTTTGAAAACGGTTATCATATTCGTAATCAGCATGTTCGCTTACCCTCATGTGCCAACTCTCAACGCTGTAGCTCGAACTTTGCAAATAATCGATAAAATGATAAAAGTAATCGATAATTCCAAAAACTAATATTGTATTCGTAATCAGCATGTTCGCTTACCCCCCTGTGCCAACTCCCAGCCCCGTAGTTCAAAATTTGCAGGTAATCGATAAATTTGGTAGAAGCGGTAACAAGTTTCCATACTGGAAAACGACAGACACGAAAACACCATCGACCAGAAAAGCACCATTGAGGACGTACAGACAGCATCCACCAACGTACAGACAAGTACACCATTCGGTTTTATATATATAGAAGGATGATGGGGTCAAAAACATGCATTTGCTTTAAACTTCATCTAGGGTGGTCATTCAGCGCGCTGAACATGAATATCATGCTGACTTCGCAGGATAATGCATTTTCTTTACGGTGGGTGTACATGGGTCAAAGTTCTAGATTTGCTCAAAACCTTACCTGTAACGGTCCACAAGCATACTGCTTATGATTATGATGCTTGCTCGTCATAACGCATTATTGTGAAGTTATGATGAGTTGCAGGATTTGAATAGACATTTCTTCGCTTTCGGGCCAATTTAGATCTCCGATATTCACGAAATGGGGAAACGATTGTTTTGCATGCCAGCGCCATCCTGATAATCTGCCCCAACGTGTAACGCACGCGGGAAATCTCCCTTCCCCTGTTTCTGCTTAAGCAAAAGCCGCCGAAGGGTGTATCGCGCGCGGCAGTGGTTCTAAAGTGCGGTTCATAATTATACGAACACCCAAAATTTTGTAAGTTTTCGGACTTTTTGGGAAAACTCAAAAAGCCGTTGGTACCACGCGAAAGAGCACAACCGAAAACGGTATATGATCCATAAGAATGGAAATTGATGTCAATCGTAGGAGTGTTTTTGCGCCTTATGCGAATTTTTAGCGGTTCATAATTATACAAACACCTCGAACAAAGGTTCATTTTTCATTCAAGATTGCAATCATTTGAGTCCAAATTTTTTGTAGAGTTACAGTAACAAAGTCTGACATATCTGCTACACACTGAACTCAGTGCAGTTCAAAAAGAGGACCGTTATTTTTTTCAGAAGGCTTTAAATGCTTTTGGAGTGATTGCGCTCCAAAAACAGCCGTTCTCCTGTGGTTTACGCGCTCTAATCAGCTTCTACCAAAGCTATGAGATAAAATAAGCTTTCTAGATAGGTATTTTGTTTGACGCTTGGAAAATCCTTGTGTTTTCGCGCCGTTTTTCAACCAAGTTCCAACCTTATCACAGAGTTAGCACGATTTGAGCCTTAAAACTCAGCTTCTGAAGCCGTACAATGAAGTAAGCATATAGTATGTAGAAGTTCACAAGACTGTATATTTGGCTAGAAAAAATCGGCAGCGTTGAGCGTTTGTTTTGGCCACGCAGACGTCATTTCACCAAAAACACTGTTTTTACTATTGCAATCACACCTATATTTGGTTTGTAGCTCCGCAGCCTCAAGATCAGTTCTACAAAAAACCCAAAAACTTTGGCACAAAAACATCATCATGCAAGCAATGCAACAGCTTCATATCAGATGTTTGCGCAAGACAGAAGCTGAGTTTTGAAGCTCGAAATCGTGCCAACCATTAGGGTTGGGATGGAACTTGGTTGAAAAACGGCGCGAAAACGCAAAGATTTTCCAAGCGTCAAACAAAATACCTATCGAAAGAGCTTATTTTATCTCATAGCTTTGGTAGAAGCTAATTAGAGCGCGTAAACCACAGAAGAACGGATGTTTTTGGAGCGCAATCACTCCAAAAGCATTTAGAGCCTTCTGAAAAAAGTAACGGTCTTTTTTTTTGAACTTCAATGGGTTCAGTGTGTAGCAGGTGTTTCAGACTTTATTACTGTAACTCTACAAAAAATTTGGTCTCAAATGATTGCACTCGCGGATGAGAAATGGACCTTTGTTTGAGGTGTTCGTATAATTATGAACCGCTAAAAATTCGCATTAGGCGCAAAAATACTCCTAAGATTGACATCAATTTCCATTCTTATGGATCACATACCGTTTTCGGTTGTGCTCTTTCGCGTGGTACCAACGGCTTTTTGAGTTTCTCCCAAAAAGTCCGAATACTTACAAAATTTTGGGTGTTCGTATAATTATGAACCGCACTTTATAAAGAAAGCATTAGTCGTGGGAAAATTTTATACCACACGAATTGCCATTATCATGGGCATTAAGCACGATAGTCTTGAAACAGCACTTTAGGTAATTCCCTGCCAAGCTTTCAGGCAGGTTCATGATTTTTACCCGCTGCCACGCGAAATGACTACGGTTCATTCTCAAAATCGTGACGACGAGGTTGACTGCGGTCTTTGCGCACACAGGAGCATAAAACACCCTTACAAACATGCATCACCTCCAAGCTAAGTTCAGTCACTTCCAGCGCCTAAATACTATCATATGTAAGCAGAAAAATATTCGAGTAGAGATACAAATCAAGAAATGGAAGTGCGACGGTCACTCCATTGTCACGATTTTACGAATGCCCTATACCATTATCGTCATCAGTGGCTTGAATTACCCCCATATACCGAGTTTGAGCAAGACACACCACAAAAACATTTCAGGGCCCGGATAGTTGAATAACGCCATCAGTTTTTAGAATTATCCTTACTTTTATCGGTCTTATTGTTTTTTTTGCAAAGTTTGAGCTACGCGGCTGGGGGGGGGGGGGTGAGAAAGGTAGGTGAGCATACTGATTACTCACACAGCGGGAATAGGGAATTGCATGTAGAAGTGGGCACCGGTAAAGGTGTACAGGGATAAAAATGGAACCTTTATCGTTTTTGACAGGGACGGGCGGAGCCGGAGCCAGCCAGTGATCATATGAAATGATTCGACTGTACGTATGTTCGAATAGAAAATTCCATTTCTGAACCGATCCGGACCAAACTTCGCACACATACACTTCGGGGTGGGGCGGGTGTCATAGGCTACTTTTCGTCACCGATTTTAAGTCGATCTTTTTCCCTACTGCGCATGTCGGTGGCCCAAAATGTGGTGCTGACGACCCAACAGGATAGGCGTATCTTGTAGACAACATTGTCTTTGCGCAAAAATTGCAGCTCTCAAAAAAGATCAACCTGCTTGAAGTTGCATCGGTTTGAAAAAATTTTTTCGCAAGTCGGGAACTTTCTTTAGCTATTACTTGGGATTTTTTATATGTAGTTCTGAGTGAAACCGAGACTGTTCAAAATAAAGGAGGCTTTGGCGCGCACATTTGTCTCGCAAAGCGGTCGCTCTGACAAGGAAAGGAGGATTGCTCGAAGTGGCCTTTTGAAATAAGATGGATACTGCCTTGTAGAGCTTGGAACGCCGATTCCAAATCTACCTTTACTATCTGCTGCGGGCTTTTGGGCGTTATGAAGGTTTTTGTGAGTAAAAATCTGATTGCAAGAGTAGGCTAAAATCAGTTGTAATATTTTTTATAGGGCTTAAAGGCAGTGGCTCGGCAAATCTCGACCTAGTCAATTTGTGCTTACCTGAGATTTTCAATACGCTGATCCCGAAAATCCACTTTTGAAAGCTTGAAAACGGCGAAAATGAATGTTTTTCAATGCCATTCCCTTTGATATTGGACGAGTGGAGCAAGGCCGATGACGCTAAATCGTGGCAGGACCCAATGGTTATAACGTTATGGCGGGCAGCCTACAATGGTGAGAAGGAAATTGCCAACTCGTCCAGATGCGTGTAAGATTGGCCTGCGCGTGTAAGTTCGATAGCGATTTTCTCGGCAGGGAAAGCATGCTGTGCAACCGAGATTGCACTGTTTTCATAGTTGGACGATAAGGAACCTACCGCGTTAAGATCCCTAGTTGTTGGATTTTGCCGATCCACTGCCCTTAAGTGGTAGTTGAGTCACCCGGTGCAACGAATATTCTTGATTCAAATATGCCAATTCGTTGCTGCCTCATTTAAACATTGGAAAAAGTTACGACTGATTTTACCCCATTTTTGCGTTCAGATTTACTCACAAAAACCTTCATAACGTTCAAAATCTCGCAGCAGATAGCAAAGGTAGATTTGGAATCAGCGCTCGAAGCTCTACAAGTCATTATACACCTCATCTCAAAAAGCCACTTCGACCAATTTTCCTTCCCTTGTGAGTGCGCAATACTCTCGCTTAATTTGCCCCACGAAGTTTCAAGCAGAGTTCGTGTCCGCATTCCGAGCAATAAGGGTGCGGCCTTGTACATCTGAAACTAGGGTAATAAAAACGACCTATCAAGCTAAACTTGGATGTTTCAGGTATATTAGTTGTCAATGCTCTATCTTCCTCCCGTAGGTATGCCAACGATTTATGTTCCTATAAAGACGACAAACCGTATCAGTACGTAAGTGCGATTTGGTGCCGATACAAAAGCTATCATGTACAAGCTTGGTTTCAGTTAGTCAAAAAATTTAATACAGTTTTTGGACATTGTGAGAGGCAGAAAACCGGCTCGCCTAATCAGGTTTGTTGTCTTTTGGAAAGTGGGATACGAATTTTCCTCATTACAGATAATTTACTGCTTGCATCAAAGTGCCATGCCGAAGCTTCGTATCAACACACAGCAGTTTCTATCTGAAAAGGCGAACATAATCACGCAAAAGACAAGGCAGCATAATTGATACGGTTATAAAATCTGTTCTACAAATTTATTTCTCAAATGCATGTTAACTTTGAAGCCTAGCGGATAGTTCACGCACAGAAAACTACATCTCTATGTTTTGAAAATCTGAATAACAAAACGCTATGTCCTAAAATCAACCATTCTCCCAAAAGGAACTTGATTTTTCAAAATGTTTTGTATATTGTTTGGAAATGGAACCCTAGACTGGGAAAGGGTGTAGAGTATATGCTAGCTACAGCTCTAGGTCGAGAAATTTCGTTGGGTCGAAAATCATAAAAAAGCCCAAAAACGCAGAAAAATCGGAGCGCCCCTTCCGCGGAGAAGTTTGAGTGTGTTTTGCTTTTGAAAATCGGTAATACTAAAAGCGTTCATTCGTAATCTTATATATAACTGAATGTTTGTTTGTATGTATGTCTGTCTGTACTATCGGGATACTGTATAAGTTCTGTTCGATTTTTGCGCTGTATAAGCCCTTCGAAGAGATTTTAATTTGTAATGCGATATTATTTAACCAATAGAGGCGGTTTTTGCTCTTTTTACCACATATCATATTTTAATAAAATCTCCAGTGTGACGAAATCGCAGGCCTATGATCTCCAAATGATCGAGACACGTTCTCAGCTAAGAAAATGTTCTTGCAAGAATCTCTACCATATGCTCTCCAAGTCAAGTCTTTGTATTGATCATGAAATAAGGATGAAACAATACAGCATTGCATGAAACCACTTTCAATAAAAACCGTTTTGCTAGCAAAATTTGTTGCTGTCGAAGAATAATCATTTGTACGAAAGTTCAAGGGCATTAATTTTCCGTGAATACAGGCAATCAATAAGTCTAGTGTTGGAGGTGTTAGACTAAAGCAAGAGCTAGCAGAGCCCAGCCACCAATTACTTTCACCCCTCGGCAAGCGTAAAATTTTCATCATTTGAAATTCGATAAACGTGTGCTGTAACGAGGTTGAAAAACGGTTCCGTTTTTAATCGGTCAAGAAAAGCTCTCGGCACCAAAGATCTTATAAGCTTTTTTAAGCTGTACAATAATTTTCGAAATTTTCTCTATCTACCCATGACCACTCAGTATGCCTGTCGGTTCTCATAAGAGAGCACTGCGCCAAAAAAAGAAGGTTTTTCGCAAGGACTAGTATTTTGGTGATAGCCAAAGAACTACTCAACACACAGAAACTGAGATTATATAAAAGTTGATTTTGAAAAAAGTTATGACATTTTGAATTCGAAAATTTATATCGAAGAAAAGTTATGCAGCAGCCTGATATGTTCCGAATGGAAATTTTTATTTCTAGGGCACAGTTGGCCGAGAGGTTAGTGCCCTTGACTACGGCGAGGAAGGGCACGGATTAGGTTCCGCATCGGGCCTAATTTCTTTAACATAAAGCTCAACCCACGAAATCCAGCGTCAGGCTGCTCACCCAATGGAAGCATGTCCGGCTGAAGAAGAAACCCGTCGCTTCAAAATGCTCTTTTAATGTCACATCAAGAATTTCGATCACAAGCTAGAGCGTTCCCCGGAGGCGACGCGCATTTGAGCCCGACAAATGCGAACAGTAAGCGAGGGTTACCGTCCCAAAGATGAGCGAGGACGTAAAAAGCTAGTTCATCGACATTACGAATACAAGCGACGAAACAATTTATTAGATACGCTTCGATTAACTACCATCAACGTAGGGTCTCATAGGACGACATCGAAAGCTAGCGGATCTTCTCAGGAGACGTAGAGTGGACATCGCCTGCATCCAAGAGACCAGATGGAAAGGTTAAAAGTCGCGCGATTTAGGAGATGGCTTCAAGCTTTTGTATGAAAGGAAGTAACAGCGGAAACGGTGTCGAAATAGTCGTCTCAGAAAGGCAGAGAGATGGGATTACAAGCGTGGATCGAGTAAACGACTGGCTCGTGTGCATCAGGCTAGATGTTGGAGAGAAGGTTCTGCGAGTAGTCACTGTCTACGCAGCTCAAGCAGGTTGTACTGAAGAGGAGAAAGAAGGATTCTGGCAAGAACTCGACGACTACGTCAGACCGGTACCTTCAGAAGAGACGTAACTATTGGAGCAAATCTTGACGGCCATGTGAGAACAACGACGTGTGGCAAGCAGTTGTCACGGCAGTCACATATGATATGGGATATGGGATTCGCAACGATGAAAAAGAGCGTATTCCGGAGTTCGCTACTGCCCGTTGGCAAACACATACTTCACCAAGAAGAACAACCATCTTGTCACGTATGCCAGCGGAGATCGGAAGTCGCTAACAGACTTCTGGGTCGCACGGCAAAGAGAGCTTAAGTATGTAAAGAACAGCAAAGTCGTCCCAGTAAAGAGTGCGTACCACAACACCGGACGCTGATTCTGGAATTTGAATATCCAGTCAATAGTCGAATAAAGGCAATGACGGAAAACAGAATACGCATCAAGTGGTGGAAGCGCAAAGACAACGCTCAAGCAGCAGCTATGGAGTCAGCTCTACCCGAACTGGAAGCCGAACCGGAGCGATCCTGGGCGAAGCTGAAGAATAACGTTCGTCCATTTGATAGCAGGAATCTGGGATGGGAACTACTGGGATGTATGAAACCAGGAAAGCCAAGATTAAATAACGAACCTCAATGGTGGAGCGAAACGTCCAATCGGTGATCAAGAGGAAGAACACGGCGTACAAGCTGTGGCAGAAAATAAGAGAAGAAGAAGATTATCAGAATTACCTAACAGCGAAGCGTGAAGCAAAGAAAAAAACTTAAGAAGCTAAAGAAGCATAAGTGGCAGAGTTGTACCAGACTAGTTGACTCGTGTAGGAAAGCGGGAGATGTATCGGATTGCAAGAAGAAGAACAAACGCTACAAAAGAATGGAGCACTTCTACAACATCAAAGACAAGGAGGGAAAAGTGCTGAGAACGTCACAAGAGATATAAGAGAGATGGAGAAACGCTTCGCAAAGATGGCATCCACGAGCCACAGACATGCGTCGACGACGACTCAGCCGGCCTTGTGCATGGACCGGTACCAACAATTACGGAAGAGGAAGTCCGCATCGCCATAATGAAGACCAAGGACGGCAATGCGACGGCTCTAGACGACGTCTCCAACAAATTCTGGAAGGAATGTGGACAGGCCGGAGTCTTATGGTTAGCACGACTTCTAAACCAGATAGTAGAACAGAAGACGATGCCACGCGACCGGTATAGAGTTACGACAATACCGATATGAAAGAATCGAGGAGAAATAGCTGACTGCGCCACCACCGTCCCATCCGACTCATGAGCCACACACTGAAGATCTTCGAAAGAATGATAGAAACACGACTTCGAGGAATCGTGGAGCTGGCACCCAACCAGCGCGGATCCGTCAAGGGATGCAGTACAACTGACGCCATCCATACCGTCAGAATAACAAAAGAAGCCGAGAGAAGCAGTGTGATTTATTGCAGCAGCATTCCTCGACCTGGAGAAAGCGTTCGATAAAGTACCGCATAACATCATATGGTGGGCGCTGCGGAAGCACATGAAAACAGAAGAATACGTGCAGTGGATAAAGATGATCTACAGAGATGCGACCAGCCACGTATAGACAGCAGCAGGAGAATCGGAAGACTTCTAGATAAAAGCCGGCGTTCATCAAGGATCCGTGCTGTCGCCTCTCCTCTTCATCACGTTGTAGACACGACAGTCAGAAACTTCATACGTCAACCTCCATGGACCGTGATGTATGCAGATGACGTTATTCTTATGGCGAAAAGCAGGAATGAATTGAAGGCGGATGTGCACAAGTGGAAATCTGAACTCGAGCTGCATGGCCTGAAGATCAGTGTCGCGAAGACCGAGTACATGGAGCTGGGAGCTCAAACGCCTGGTACCATACAGATCGAAGACGCTCCAATCAAAAAGAAAACTACCTTCAAATACCTAGGAAGCCGCATCTGCGCAGATGGTACAACCCAGGACGAGGTAGCTGCCAGGATAAATTAAAATAGAAAAGCCTTACAGGAGTCATGTGCGATAAGCGGATGCCATGCAAGTACCGTATTGTGATCCGCCCGACAGCTCTATATCGCAACGAAGGTTGGCCGTGTACGCGAAGCGACGAACGTAAAGTCAGTGTGACGAAAACACGCATGCTACGATGGACGGCAGGCGTCACTATGATCGACCACGTTACTAACGATACCATACGCGCAAATGAAGGTCGCCAAAATAGCTAAGAAGATACAGGAAAGAAGACTTCGATGGTACGGTCACGTGCAAAGAAGAGAAGAAAGCTATATCTCAGGTCGGCCACATTAGAAAACATACCAGGAAAGAGGCCAAGAGGAAGGCCAAAGTCGAGATGGTCGGATAAGATCAAAGCGGATCTGAAAGAACTGAAGATCGAAAAAGAACAAGCCTTAAACCGCGAACTGTGGAAGAGACTTACAAGAGTGGGAGACCCCGAGTAACCGGGAAGATGCATGAATTCAAAAAAAGAAATTTTTATTTCTGAACCGATCTGTACCGAACTTTGCGCAAATGCACTTCGGGGCAGGGCGGATGTCGTGCTACTCTTCCTCACTGATCGATATTGCTTTTATCGATCTTTTGCAAAATTTGGTCTACTGGGCTGGAAATTGGCACAGAGGGGTAAGTGAGAAGTGATCATGGTGATTACAAGAAAATTATTCACAGAGTCAGGCGGAGCCAAGCCAGGTAGTTGTTTGATATTATACTCTAACTAGATGGCAAACCCGGCTCCGCCCGGGACCAAACTGTGCACACATACACTTCGGGGCAGGGAGCGTGTCATAGTCCACTTTTCGTTATCGATCGATGACACGCTCCCTGCCCCGAAGTGTATGTGTGCAAGGTTTGGTCCAAATCGGTTTAGAAATAAAAATTTCTATTCCGCACATACGTACAGACAGACATACATACAGACAGACATTCAGCTTTATATATAAGATTAGGTACGCTCAATATTTGCTCAAGCTCACTATATAACTACTCTAGATTTTTTTCAATTTAAAAAATACATAGAACAACTTAGTGGTCTAGTCGCTAGGGTAAGTTTGATGTACCCTGCATAACCTCATTTTTTTTCCACCTAGACCTTGCATTGATGAGACTTACATCTTGGTTGTGAAAACATGAAATCGTGATTTTTACTCCGAGTTTTGCAAATCAACTACTTTATTCTCGCTTTAGAAGTTATGTTTAATAGTCGGGTCAACATTGATGTCTCATGCCAAACGTTGCATGCAAAGAAAGCTTTGACTCTTGCCGGAGTACAGCATCTTAAGCGTTGGCGAAGTCCTAGAGATCCCTAATCAATGAGTTTACTTTTGCTAGCCATATTCAAACACCTTCGCTACATGCGCGTCCTCACCAATGATCACCCATCTCTGTTCGCCAAGGCAAGTATTTGAGACTGTAGAATGAT